TCATCATCATCTCATGCCATGATGCAAGTTTCAGGGAAGATTTTATGTAAACAAAACAAAACAGCAAGCTACTGAAATGCTTTCATTCGTGCCAAATTCCTCGACATACCCACAGATGGTTCACCATCTACTGCACATCCACCCGCTTTAAGAAGAAACCCACATGCTCTCTTGAGGTGAGTATGGATCAGGCTGCAAGCAGAGAAGCGTTCAGCAGCGAGCTGCAGGCAGGCGTCTACGTTAGCTGACAGAAGGAACATGGCAGGCACACACAGACGGAGGCATGCCAGAGCTCTTACTTAAATCCCCAACCAGTTCCCCCCAGGATTATCGCCGCCAGCAGAATAGCCCCAGCAACCGAGCCTATGATGATATTGGTACCACTGGGACCTGTGGGAGCGAAGGAAGAGGCATGTAGGCGTGCTGAGAACCAATAAGTCACTTTTTGGGTAGTTAATATACGCATTATGTACATATGGAAAATAAAAAGGGGCTTCATGTTCTGCACCACATACAGTCAGGTCCTTAACTATTTGGACAAGTACACATTTTTTTCTCCATTTTCCTCCTCTTGCATAAAAATGGCTCCAATTTCCAAACAGTAAATCCAATAGTTTGCTAAAGTTGACAGTCGGCACTTCAATTAAATCTTGATGATTTAATTTAAATTAATCTGGTAGTGCACAGAGGTTATAAATTACAGAAAAAAAAAGTATCACACTTATTGAAATAGCTGTATATTAGTTTGATTTAAGAGATGGGTAAGGGTGTAGGTGTGTATGTAAATGATTTTCTGTTTTAAAACATTTTAGTTCATGTTCATAGATCAAAAATGAAACTTTAGAAAATCCTAGTACAACCCCAACCAAAGTTTAATTTTTCTGTTTGTTTATTTTTTAAAAATTAAATAAAAGTCTATTATTACTCCTCCAAGTTTTATTTTGATTTTTTTTTCTTTGTTCTGTCTCCTTTTTTGCAACCACATGTTGTTAAGCTGTGCTGGATTCACTGTAGCTGCAGTTTGTTGTTGAAGGGAAAACAAATGCACTGTAATTATTTATTAATATTTTTTTTAATTAATTGTCGCATCTTTTCAATAAATTATTAAACAACTAAATATTATAAAAAGCACATCATATTAAACAGCATGAATAGGTATGAACTTAAGATACGGACTTCAGATACGAAACAGACTTCTGCAAATGATTAGATGATCAAAAAGCAAATGAGCTCCGTTACTTTAGTGGAGCTGGCGGTGCGGAGTCTGTCTGATGAAAGGACTAAACTGCTCTGTGAGGTTACCTTTGTACTTCTCTGGGCCATCTGGCGAGGTGGGGGTTGGGATCGGGTCAAACACACTGCAGTCCTTCCCGGTGTAGTCTGGATCACAGATACACTTCACCTCGTTACTGCACATCTGCAGGACACAGAGGACGAACATAGTCAAAGCTTTATAAATGAGAAAAAGTTCTAAAGTCCAAATTTGAAACAAAGAAAGCTCCGAGGTGGGACAGATGGCGGTTGTGGACTCACCCCGTGGTGGGAGCAGATACGCAAGGATGAGGATCCAGGGCAGGTGCTGAGGTTGAAGGTGGTAACGGGGAGGCAGCGACGCTCCAAACACATCATGTTCGGCCCACATGGTGTCCCATCTTCCACATAGCCCAGATCCAAGCCATCATCCAGCACTGCGTGACCACCCCTGTGGGTCAGACAGTTATGTCAAATCATGCTTACCTAATATAATAATGTCTTCATGTGCAATCTTTTCCAAAAGGCTAATTTTCTGAGTGCATTCATCCACTACTGACAGGACAAAGAACTAAAATAGGAAAAAAAAATAGATGAAACTGACATTTTTTCATGCCGAGGTTTTGAATTTCATCAGGCTGCCTCACCTGCAGTCCAGGTATCTGCTCTGATGGTGGATGGTCAGGCTGGTGACCTTTCCCTGCAGCTCGCCAAATCTCGGTCTGTCTGTCAGATTGGTGCAAAGCAGCAAACCACACAGAACATCCCTGATGCAGGAAACCGAGAGAAGATGGAACAATAAAAGCTTAAAAATATTCCAGATAATCTAATTATAGGTCACAGTTCTTTTGTTATACACAGAAAGTTATATTCACTGACTGTTTATTGCACGGCACCCATCCCTGGCCACTGGAGTGTGGACCACAGTTTCCTCTCTCTGTGCCCTCAGAGTTCAGCTTTTCATAGCAAAACCTGTCAGCTGAGTCTGGGAAAAGAGAACAAACTCACATTTATT